TGTGGTTTCGGCCTTCAGCAGGCCTGTGTGGGGACAGCAGTGGGTGGCCACAGCCCCAGAGGCCACAGGAGGCCAGGGATTAGGTGGCCTGGCCGGGTGGCAGGCGTTTGCTGTCCAGAATGGCCTTCCAGTCATCAGTCCAGGACTGCAGCCGGCGGCTGGGGGGCTTCAGCTGCAGGTGCTTGTTGTGGCAGGCTGTGCAGAGCAGGTGCTCCCAGGTGGGGTTCAGCTCAGCCCCTGCCAAGGAAGGAGGGAGGTCAGCTCTCTGACAGCTCCACAAGACGCAGGGGTTGACCCCACTCCAACATAAGCAGCTTGTGGATACAAACCCCTAATGAGAGCCTAATCAACCTGTTCCACACAATTTAGGTTGGAGATGCTCTGGAGCAGACTTGGTTTTGCCTGTGCAGCCCCAGACACAGAGGGAGCAGCACGTTCCTTCAAGGCAAAACACAAGAAATGGTTCAGAACTGAACTGAGCACCCGTCACCCCAGATGCCATCTGCCTCTGGGGGCTGCGACTGGTCACTCCTGCCACCCCCCACTTCCTTACCTATGATATCAGGTCTGTCATCTATCAGCAGGTCAGCAGAAACCACTGTCTTATCTTGTGTCAGGACGATCTGCTGGAGAAACTCAGGGCCAAAGTGCTTCTCCACCCAGGCATACTGGAAGGTGAGAGGTGAGTGGTGAGCACAGGGTGGGGGCAGCAGCCCCTGGCAAAAGCCCTGGCCCCCATGCAGGGGGGACATCTCGCTTAATAAGTTCATTAGTGGGAAGGATTTGGATGCTGCTGGAGCATAGGTTCTTTTAAAGCTTTTGACACGGTGATGAAATATGAAGACCCAGCGCCTCAGGGCAGGCAAATGGCAGAGCTCAGCTGATGGCAGAGCTGCTGCAGGAACAGAACTGGTGGAGCAGGGAAATGTGGCTGCTGCTTTACAGCCAGACAGCTGGAGGCAGGCAGGGATAAGATGGCTTTTGCCAGGCAGTGTGGTACAGGAGGGGGAGAAGGGATTCGGACCCACTCACCTTCTCGTAAGGGCAGTAGAGGTATTTCTTGATGGGGCTTGTGCAGATGAACACGTCGGTGCTGCCATGAGGGAGAAAAGAGGGCAGAGTGTCACCAAACACACTGGGCAGACCCTGCTTCCCCTCGAGAGGTCCCTGGCTCCCTGCAAGACCCTGCTCAGTGCCTGAGCAGGCAGGTGCCCAGGGCAGCCTCCCCACAACACACAGATCAAACCAGGACAATTCCAGACGTGAATCCCCCGTTTTGCAGGATCTCACACCCACAGCACATGTTCCTCTGGCTGGGAGCAGAGAGCTGAAAGAAAGAGGCTGCACATGGCTCATTTCCTTGGGAACTGCTCCATGAGTCAAAGCCCTCTCTTTCCTCCCATGGCCAGTGGGCTGGCAGGTATTTTTAACACTGATGTTGTATTCAGTGCTTCTGGCAAGAGGAGGATGAGCCTGCAAAGCCACTGCTGCTGCCTTCTCCACTCCCTGATACCACCAGCAGGTTCCTACTCACTCAGCCAAATTTGCCATTTGCTTCACAGCTTCCACAGCCCCAGGGAGTGGGTCCAGCTCGATGAAGAAGTTCTTGGATTCCCAGATGCTGATGGCTTTCTCCTGTGAGGGGAAAGCGAGTGATTACTGCACAGAGCTTCTGGCTACTCTTCTTGCATGTGCATCTACCACATCCTTTGCTAGGATGACAGTGAGAAAGTTGGGAGCCTTGGCTGCCATCCCCTCCTGCCTCTGTGGGTGCCCCTGTTTCCCACCTGCCAACCTGCACCCACCCCATACAATTTAGGTTGGAGACACTCTGGAGCAGACTTGGTTTTGCCTGTGCAGCCCCAGACACAGAGGGAGCAGCACGTTCCATCAAGGCAAAACACAAGCAATACAGTGCAAGACAGGCAGCAGAAATGCCTGCTGGCACCATGATAAGAACAGTTATCTTGACAGTCTGCCCTGGGACCAAGCAAACATTCCATCTCCAGTTGCTCTGCCTTAGAGCGGTGGGCAATGATGTTTTATTTTTCAGATCCTGACTGGAGTTATACAAGAGACCTCTGAGAAGGGCACCTGATGCAGCAAAGCACTTCAAACTGAGCTGGAGTGTTCCCTTCCAGCAAGGACTTCCGGAGCTGTTCTGCTTCCACTTATGTCAAAAAACATTTTGCAATCAAGCTGGATGGAGGAAGAACTGAGCTCAGCCAGAAGAAAAGACCCACTTGGCTCTCAGAGCCAGAACAACTCCCTGCAGCACTGCAGCCAGCACTATCTGCCCAGTAGATGGAAAAATCCCCCAGGCTGGGAATCCCACCATGTGCCAGGCAGGACAGACCCTCAGTTTCCTTCTTTTTAACTCTTCCCATGAGTAATTTCCCTGCCCATCTGGGGCTCACATGCTTCCAGGTCTGGGTGCTCAGTGTATTGTTGAGCTGTTGTTCTCCCTTTCAGATCTGGGACCTTCAGCTCCTTGGACAATTTGGCTCCTGTCTTCTGGTCTCCAGCAGCAGGTCAGTGGTGCTCTCTGACAAGGGGGGACTGGAACAGCCCCATGTGCCTGCTCACCAGAGTGGCTCCTACCCTCTTTATCCCTGGTCTGAAACCACAGGTGAAGTCAGGGCTGCCCTGAGGTTGGGCTGTGGAATTTTGCTAGTTGTCCAGCCCAAGGTTATGGTGGTTTTACGTGATCACAGCAGACACAAGATAAGCTCACTTCATTTAACACATCCAAAGTAGTTAACATCAAGGAAAAAAATAAATACAAATAGTTCCTATGCATTACCCCTGCCAAACTTTTAGCATCTGCATGAACAGTGTCCTCCTTTTCCCTTTCATCAAACCCAGCTAGAGAGGACACATGACTCCTTCAGCTCATCAAGCTGTTTAGGACTTTGCCAGAGGGAAGGCCCCTTATCCACACTCCCTTCCTTGTTGCCATCATACCACTAAGGACAAGAGTACTTTTATCTGCTGTAACACCTTTCAGCTAGCCCAACTGCAACCCACAGGTGAGACCACAGATATCCCATCGAGATGGGAACCTTGTAGGAGCAGAAACAGACTTTCTGCACTGCTCAGCCCTTCACTGAATGATGAAGCACAGCAGAAAGAGCTTCTGCTTTTTTGCTTTAGTTATTAAAATGAATACAGTAATTTTCAGGCACAGGAGGACTTGGGGCTGTTTCATTTTTAAATATGCCCTCCCAGGAACCACTGATTGCATGGTCTGCTCTCAAACTCCCTGCTGCATCCCACCCCTCACGCTGCTGGTGAGGAAGCAAATCATCCATCTAGGAATAGTCATAGAATCATAGAATCTTAGGGGCTGGAAGGGACCTCGAGAGATCATCTAGTCCAAACCCCCTGCCAGAGCAGGGTCACCTAGAGTACATCACACAGGAACTCATCCAGGTGGGTTTTGAATGTCTCCAGTGAGGGAGACTCCACAACCTCCCTGGGCAGCCTGTTCCAGTGCTCTGTCACTCTCACAGTAAAAAAATTTTTTCGGATATTCACCTTGAACTTCCTATGCTCCAATTTACACCCATTACCCCTTGTCCTATCACTGGTCATCACCGAGAAAAGCCTAACTCTGTCCCCCTGACACTCACCCCTTACATATTTGTAAACATTGATGAGGTCACCCCTCAGTCTCCTTTTCTCCAAGCTAAAGAGACCCAGCTCCCTCAGCCTTTCCTCATAAGGGAGATGTTCCACTCCCTTAATCATCTTCGTAGCTCTGCGCTGGACTCTTTCAAGCAGTTCCCTGTCCTTCTGGAACTGAGGGGCCCAGAACTGGACACAACACTCCAGATGTGGCCTCACCAATGCAGAATAGAGGGGGAGGAGAACCTCTCTTGACCTACTAATCACACCCTTTCTAATGCACCCCAGGATGCCATTGGCCTTCTTGGCCACAAGGGCACATTGCTGGCTCATGGTCATCCTCCTGTCTACCAGGACCCCCAGGTCTCTTTCACCTACACTACTCTCCAGCAGTTCAGCCCCCAACCTGTACTGGGACATGGTGTTGTTCTTCCCCAAATGTAAAACTCTGCACTTCCCCTTGTTGAATTTCATCATGTTTCTCCCCGCCCAACTCTCCAACCTATCTAAGTCTCTCTGAATGGCAGCACAGCCTTCTGGTGTGCCAGCCACTCCTCCCAGCTTAGTGTCATCAGCAAACTTGCTGAGGGTACATTCTATACCCTCATCCAGGTCGTTGATGAAGATGTTGAACAACACCGGTCCCAGTACCGACCCCTGTGGGACTCCACTAGTCACACACCTCCAACCAGATTCTGCCCCATTGACTACAACTCTCTGACTCCTTCCTTTCAACCAGTTCCTAATCCACCTCACTTCCTGATCACCAAACCCATACCTGATCAACTTTTCTACAAGGATGCTGTGGGAGACGGTGTCAAATGCTTTACTGAAATCAAGATAAACCACATCTACCACTCTACCATCATCTATCCACCTAGTAATTTCCTCATAGAAGGCTATGAGGTTAGTCAAACATGATTTACCCTTGATAAAACCATGTTGACTGCTCTTGATGACCCCCATGTCCTTGATGTCACCAACCTTAAATCAGAGCTAGGAAAACCCAGGTATGCAGGTGTTCTGAGAGAGCTCCTTTCCTTGCATCTACCTCCATCCA